ATTTTTCATTGTAAAATAACAGAAATCATTTTTTTTATGTTCAAATCTTCCAATCTTGGATTTAAATTAATCAATTTCTTTACTATTATCTAAACAAATTAATCATCTATTTTCCAAATATTTTCTTTTATCCCCATTTCAGGCTTTCAACTCTTCAAATATCATAAATTATGTTCACTAAAGGACTCAGTCATTCCATTTGGTAGATATTAAATCAAATTGGGGAAAAAAATGGCCGCTTTCAGACTCCGTGGTCTGATTAACGCTAAATTCAACGTATCAGTTTTAGGTCTAAATAATGATTCATGGATTATTTCTTACTGACCAAACTTTCCCTTTAACATAAGCTTGCAAAAAGAAAACATCTGTATAAAATATTTTTGTTTTGAAATAATTTAATTTGAAAAATAAAAAAATATGAAAAAGTTATTTGAAACAAAAAATCCAACTTACTCTCAAAACCTTTTTTTTTTTCCAGATTTGATGTTTAATTTCTCCAATATTCTTGCAGCTAAATCTGTCCTAACATAATCTGGATTATTCCCGAACATCAGGACGCCATCCATGAACGGCGGAACGCCCTGCTGGCGTCCTCAGACTGATTCGATGATGGGAAGCGGCTGAACGCCGTCCACGCTCCGTAACCCCGATCCAGGAAAGGTTTTCCCAGAAACATCTCTGCCGCCATTAGATCGCCGCCCTCTAACAGCCCGGCCTCTCCCAGCATTAAACCTGCTCTTATTCCTCTCTATAAAAGCCTGAGTGATGCAGGGAGGACCTGCCAGCCATGACTCAGGCCACGTCCGTCCAGCTGCGGCGTCGTTCATGGCGGATCGTGATCTCACCGTCAGCAGGGCGGATCAGAGCCGCTCTGACGCGACGTGTACGAGAGAAAACCGCCTCCCTCCTCCCGAGTCATTTACCGTTTGCCTGTATTCCCGGATCATCTTCAGCTTCTCCTCTCCACCCTTGTTCTCTTCCCTCTGCTCGATGCTGCTGATTATCCTCCAGGACGCTCTGCGAGCCCCGATCACGTTCTTGTAGGCCACCGACAGCAGGTTCCTCTCCTCCACTGTGAGCTCCACGTCCATTCCTGCCACCTTCTTCATAGACTCCACCATCTCTGTTTGGGGAGAACACAAGTAGAAGCTTCACTGAGCAAACATGAGAGGAGATGCTCTGCTTCGCTGGCCTGATACCTGAACCAACAGGACATGTTTGCTTTTTAACTTTACATCCAATATCTGAAGGTGTTAAAACAAAAAAATAATCGAATATTCTCCTTTAAGTGACGCTGGCCTGTAGGAGCAGCACTCTGAGCTCCTCCAGGAAAGCTTTTAGCTAGCAGTGAATATAGATGTACATGTACGACCTTAAATAAACAAAAAAGACAAATTATACTCCCTGTTTTTAGGAAGTACAGCTTTGGTAACTTTGCTCAAATCTTGAAAATTTCACAAGCAGC